CACACACGTGTTACATACACATGCGGTTGTGGTTACATACACACACGTGTTACATACACATGCGGTTGTGGTTACATACACACACGTGTTACATACACATGCGGTTGTGGTTACATACACACACGTGTTACATACACATGTGGTTGTGGTTACATACACACACGTGTTACATGCACGTGGTTGTGGTTACATACACACACACGTGTTACATGTACATGTGGTTGTGGTTACATACACACACGTGTTACATGTACATGTGGTTGTGGTTACATACACACACGTGTTACATGTACATGTGGTTGTGGTTACATACACACATGTGTTACATGTACATGTGGTTGTGGTTACATACACACACGTGTTACATGCACATGTGGTTGTGGTTACATACACACACGTGTTACATGTACATGTGGTTGTGGTTACATACACACACGTGTTACATGCACATGTGGTTGTGGTTACATACACACACGTGTTACATACACATGTGGTTGTGGTTACATACACACTCACTCATGTGTGAGTGATGATGTGACTATTATCAGACATACTGTTTTTTACATAAACTATTACAATGACATGTAAACAGCCAATTCATGTTTTATCTGTTTTATTTTCTGATCATGGTCCCTCTGTTATTCACGTGAGATTTTTAATGTCCACAAATGAGATTATAATTTCATTTGGTGCATGTAAACAAGAGCTGTTATAAATGCATCATGTACAGTTACTGACGGTGGCCGGCAAGTGCAAAACACTTTCACACATTAACAAGTTTGAAAACAAAATTACTCGATTACCGCACGTCGATCGTCACTTCTGCTTTTTAGGGAATTCCCTTTCTGTCAAAAACTTTCTTTTAATGTGTTTCGGGGGTTTGTATTTGTGTTTTTGCTACATGTAGATTTGTGTCAATTTCTATTATCACTGTGGGATCATAATTACAGGATCAGACTCTTTCCTTAGTGTTGAACTTGAGTTGGAAATGTCACTTTTGTGACAAGACTGCACTGTGCACAAAGACATTAACTTTAGAACAATAATTACTCTGACAGTCGTCATGAAGCAGACATTTACAATTCAAATATGACACTATTTTCTGATCTGTATTATAATGTAGTTTCCTCATCACAAACAGACCTGTTGTGTTTTGTTTCATTCACACATTTAACACACAAACCCTTAGACTTAGACAAACTTTACTGATCCACACAGGGAATTATTTGGACACAGCAGCTCAAACATCACAATATTTTATAATAACAAAGAGCAAAAATAGCAAGAGTTTTACACCTTCACTAGAATCATTTGGATGCTTGCCTCGAAATTTCAAGGTGGGACAGAGGATTTTCGGCTTTGGAGACGCAGACAGACTAATAATAAAGTGTTACTCAAACATTTGTGAATGAAACAAAACACAACTCCAGGTTTGTTTCTGATGAAGTAACAACATTATAACATGACTAAAAGCTCACAAGAGTCCAATGTACTTTCTTATACAATACTAATCCTACTAATTACTTCCACTCCGGTTGTAATTACACTGACAGAGAGTGGATGTCGGGCTTCAGTGACATGACCTAATACCTGAATGAACACTGGCGGAGTAAACAGCAGTAAACAAGTGTCCGTGGAGTCATTAAACACTATTATTACGCCTACAGACCCCTTCATGTGCGTCATTCAGAAGACCACGGTGCATAGCCCAGATTCCAAGTAAGCTACGTCAGAGCCAAAATTCCACATGTCTGCTCTTCTTCTGCACGTCACACTCGCAGATCTGGGCACAAATGACAGTGTAAGATTAGTCACTTAGCTCCGCAGGTTTGGCTCCAGCTCAGTCTCATGGCTTTTATTGAGACTTGCAGCTAAAGTCGTCAACATTTCCTGATGGTGTGATGCTAAATTGAGGCTCTGCTCTGTTAGAAAGACCTGATTTCGCTGGAAGTACAATATTTGACATGATTTGTGCTGTTAAACAAGTCTTTCACACATAAAATTACACTCACAAGCTATAAAGACACTAGTGTAGGCCAGGGGTGGGCAATTATTTTTTCCATGGCGCTACATGAGAAACAGAAAATATTGCGGAGGGCCGAGCCAAAATGCTTCACTCAATTCTGCAAAATATTAATTGTATTTGTTTATAAAAAGCAGTAAATAGCATTGTTGCGGGTAAGAGTTCACCAGCTCGTCAAAACACAGATCTCAGGAGCTCAGCAGGGCCGGGCCTGGTTAGTACTCGGATGGGAGACAACTGAGATTATCAGGTGCCACAAGGGGGCACCAGTCGCCTGTCGTTGTGTCCTTAAGCAAGACACTTCACCTACATTGCCTAGTATGAAAGTGGTGATGACGCAGATTGGCAGACGTGCTTCAGTCAGTCTACCCCAGGACAGCTGTGACTACAATAGTAACTTACCACCACCGAGTGCGGAGTGAATAATTTATGATCTGTAAAGAGTATTTGTGATATATGTCTGTGAAAAGCACTATATTTAAAAAAAAAAAAAAAAAACAAAAACTTAGGTAACACTTTATAATAACCTTACTTAGCCTTAATAAAGCATGAACAAAGGCTTAATTAATAATGAAGAAAGATTTAATTAATAATAATTCACGTTTAGTAAATGCTTAATAAAGGATAATTAGTCTTCACTTTAGAAAAGCTCTCAAAAAAACTTAACTAACAGATAACAGCTGCCTGAATTATCATTGCATTGCATTATTAGTAAATCATTCTCTCATAGCTTACTAATGATTAATAAATGCTCAAATGGTTAGTTCATGAGTAATTAAGTATGAAATAATTATGAGTAACTATTTACAGCACAGGCAAATTAAGTGCAAGTGCTTATTAAGGTAGTAATTAATAGTTACTAAGCGTTAATTATTATTAATTAAGCCTTTGTTCATTATTAATTAAGCCTTTGTTCATGCATTATTAAGGCTAAATAAGGTGTAGTTATTATAAAGTGTTACCAAAACTTACTTAGGTTATGACTAAGCAATGAAAAAGTGAGGTTGCCTTACAAAAAAATGTCATTAAAAACACCTCTAAAATAAAAGCAATGCAGCTTTAGTCCATGCATGAGGTAAAATGATAAAATATGTTTATTCTGTAATTCCAAATTAGCTCAAACGAGCCGATCAGAGTCGACCAAAGGGCCGTATGTGACCTGGGAGTTCTACAATGCCCAGGTCTGGTGTAGACTATTTACCATCAGTGACCCAGCAGCTTTTCAGGCTGTCCCTGCTTTTTGTTTATTTACTTTTTAAACTTGTTTTTCTCTATAGACCCATTAACAATTTGCACATCTGGACACAAATAGATCTGGGCCTACAGTTCTTCATGATCCTAATCTCTATAGGTCAACAGATGCTGTGATTAGGCCTAATGCTGGAATTGTGAATAGGCCAAACCTAAGTGACTGAGTGGCTCTCTAACATCCAAAAGAAAGTTATAGATAAACAGGCCTATTTCAGTGTAGTAGTTAACAATTTAACACATTTATTATTCGGGGTGTGCAAAAATATCAAAATATCGTATCATTTAATGTGATGATACAGTATTGATATTGAGTATTTTTTGGTATATTTTACTAAATTATTTTCTTACAGAGCTACAGTTTTGTTGCTTGTTTAGAGAAAGGAAACTTGTTCATGCGACACATTTGACATTTTCACTGTTCACTGAACCATGCAGAAGAAATGGTTTGACAAAGACTTTTAGTATCACACTTGTGATTTAGCCTTTATTTTTTATTGAACTGTATCGAATCAATTTGAAGTATATTGTGTCGAACTAAAAATGCACTGTATTGAGGTATGTATCGTATCGTGGTCTATGTATCGAGGTAAGTATTGTATCCACCACTTCTTAATGATACCCAGCCTTATTTCCAAATGTTGCAGAACTCTGAAAACCCATGAATAGAACGACAAAAGCTTTGTTACTAACGAAGTCATTACTGCTGTCATTTCTGATACTAGGTAAAAAGTAACCAAACGAACCTCAACACCCAAACCTGGGCTCTGTCGCTTTAAGCTCCACAGCTCCGTGTGTTTGGACCGGGCCCGGGGCGCATGGAGCGGAGTCAGGAGGCACGGGGGGGCGGATGTGAACCACCGGAACGATCTCGAGGAAAATACTTTCATTTAATGTCATATTGAGAGAAAATCAAATTGCTCTGAGATTTCAGTCATTAGTGGCACTAAGGGTGGGGGGCCCCTCCAGGTTTGGGGACCCTAGATGGTCGCCTACTTTTGCCTAATGGTAAGACCGCCTCTGCTTCTTAATGATACACAGCCCAATCATTATTATTATGGAAATTGGAAAAATTCTCAAAATGTTGCATGCAGAACTCGACAAATGCTTGTTATTAACAGATTAATTATCACTGTCATGTCTGATACTATTAAAAAAAATAAAAATAAAGAAATAACAAAACATAAACCCAAACACAACCACAACTTAACACCAAAACCTGGGCTCTATCGCTTTAACGAATGGAACGATCCCGAGGAAAATACTTTAATTCAATGTCATATTGAAAGAAAATCTAATTGCTCTGAGGTTTCAGCCATTAGTGCCACTGAGGGCAAATGGTTGGGGGGCCCCTCCAGGTTTGGGGACCCTTGATGGTCACCTACTTTTGCCTAATGGTAGCGCCGCCTCTGGGTCCTATTGTCATTATTGTCATTTCTGATACTATTAAAACAAAAACCAAAAAAACTAACAAAACGAACCTTAACACCAAAACCCTAGCTCTGTCGCTTTAAGCTCCGGAGCTCCGTGTGTTTGGACCGGGCCCGGGGCGCACGGAGAGGGGGGGCACGGATGTGAACCACCGGAACGATCCCGAGCAGGAGGATGAGGAGCAGGACACGGAGGAGAGGATGCCCTGGATGAGAGCGACACTACCCCCGCTGCCCCCTTCTCCCTGCTCCCCGCTGTCCCCTCCTTCTCCCCGCTCCCCGCTCCTCCCGCGCGCTCTCCCCCTCCGGACCCGGGCAGCTCCGTCATGATCCGGGCCGGGGCCGGGACGGTGTCGGTGGCGGCCCGCAGGATGCCCTCCTCGGTGCGGCGGAGGAGCGGCTGCTGGATCGCCTGGTGCCAAGCGCTGCTGCTCGGCGTGTCGGCGCTGGTCATAGTGGCCGAGAGGAGCGCTCGTAAGTGGCCGTACGGGACCGGGACCGGGGGGTTTTTTGGGGCCGGGGACGTGTGTTTATTTACGGCGGGGGAAAGGCTGACATCATCCTCACGCTAGCTCCGGTGTTTTCATAGAACCACGGCTAGCTCCAGCTCCACAGTCACTGCTAACGTGTTTGGGGGGATGGTTAACGCGGTTTTACCTCCTCTAAACGGTTAAACGTCACAAAAAATAGATCTAAAATACTCAAATACCGTTCACCGTTTACATATTTAATCGCTTTTTACTTTATTTTGTTCCCAGGCTGCTGCTGTTTTCATGTAGCCTGTGAAGTGTGGCTATTGACAGCACAGGCTAAAAGGTTAAACGTCAAAAAAATCTATCGAAAATACTCAAAAATAAAATAAAATAAATAAGATTAAAAAAATAATTAAACGTATAAATATTAGGAATGTAACAATAACTGATGTATCGTGATACATCTTATAAAACATATCGGGAACTACATATCCCATGATTCATTTCACTGCAGACAGTAACTACTCACACCAAATTCTTGTATTGAGTATTTTAAAAGCAAAATAGTGTCCTATCTAGGTTAAACATCACAAAAATAGACTAAAATACTCAAAAAGGAACCTATAGTATGTCAATATTTAATCGCTTTTAGCTTTATTTTGTTCCCAGATAACGGGTTACAGCTGAAGTTGTGAAGTGTGGCTATTGACAGCACAGGCTAAAAGGTTGAACGTCAAAAAAATGTTTCGAAAATACTCAAAAATAAAATAAATAAGATAAAAAAAGAATAATAGTAATAATAATAATAATAAAATGTATAAATATTAGGAATGTAACAATCACTGAAGTATCATGATATAGCTTATAAAACATATCGGGAACTACATATCCCATGATTCATTTCACTGCAGACAGTAACAATTCACACCAAATTCTTGTATTGAGTGTTTTAAAAGCAAACTAGTGTCCTAGCTAGGTTAAACATCACAAGAATAGAATGAAATACTCAAAAAGGAACCTATACTATGTCAATATTTAATCGCTTTTAGCTTTATTTTGTTCCCAGATAACAGGTTACAGCTGAAGTTGTGAAGTGTGGCTATTGACAGCACAGGCTAAAAGGTTAAACGTCAAAAAAATCTATCGAAAATACTCAAAAATAAAATAAAATAAATAAGATTAAAAAAATAATAAAATGTATAAATATTAGGAATGTAACAATAACTGAAGTATCGTGATATAGCTTATAAAACATATCGGGAACTACATATCCCATGATTCATTTCACTGCAGACAGTAACTACTCACACCAAATTCTTGTATTGAGTATTTTAAAAGCAAAATAGTGTCCTAGCTAGGTTAAACATCACAAAAATAGACTAAAATGCTCAAAAAGGAACCTATACTATGTCAATATTTAATCGCTTTTAGCTTTATTTTGTTCCCAGATAACGGGTTACAGCTGAAGTTGTGAAGTGTGGCTATTGACAGCACAGGCTAAAAGGTTAAACGTCAAAAAAATCTATCGAAAATACTCAAAAATAAAATAAAATAAACAAGATTAAAAAATATATAAATAAAAAAAAAACCCAATAATAATAATAATAAAATGTATAAATATTAGGAATGTAACAATAACTGAAGTATCGTGATATAGCTTATAAAACATATCGGGAACTACATATCCCATGATTCATTTCACTGCAGACAGTAACAATTCACACCAAATTCTTGTATTGAGTATTTTAAAAGGAAAATAGTGTCCTATCTAGGTTAAACATCACAAGAATAGACTAAAATACTCATAAAGGAACCTATACTATGTAAATATTTAATCGCTTTTCGCTTTATTTTGTTCCCAGATAACAGGTTACAGCTGTTAGTTTTGTTGTGAAGTTGTGAAGTGTGGCTATTGACAGCACAGGCTGAAAGGTTAAACGTCACTAAAATAGACTAAACTACTCCAAAAATGTTTACTGATTTACCGATTTTTGTCTTATTGTGTTGCCAGATAACATGTTACTGCTGTTATCATGTAGCTTGTGAAATGTGGCTATTGGCACGTTTAACCTTTTAACCTTTAAAAGTTTAAATGTCACAAAAACAGGGATGTAACAATAACCGAAATATCGTGATATCGTATCATCAAAAGTCTCACAATAATATCGTGGGCTGTCACAATATATCGAATCACAATTTTCTTTGCTTAAATGCAGGTTTTATTGTAGCAATAACTTATAAATATCCGGAACTACATATCCCATGATTCATTTCAGTGCAGACAACATGAAGTTATATGTTTTTTACTTGAATTCTTGGAATTATGACAGTAATAATAATAAGCCTATCTACAATTATATCAGCCGCTCCAAAATATCACAAGAAATGTTGTACCGTGAGATGCATATTGTTGCAAACCTTTACTGTATAATTATTGAATCAATTTTTGTCTTGTTTTGTTCCCAGATAACAGGCTGCTGCTGTTGACAGCACATGCTAAAAGGTTTAAAATACAAAAAAAAAAGCAAACCCTTTACTGTATACATATTAGGGATGTAACAATAACCAAAATATCGTGATATTGTATAAAAATGCAGGTTTTACAGTACCATTAACTTATAAACATCGGGAACTACATATCCCATGATTCATTTCAGTGCAGAAAATATGAAGAAATATGTTTTTTATTTGAATTCTTGGAATTATGACAGTCATAATTAATAATTCACACCAAATTTGTATTTTAAAAGCAAAAAAAGCATGCTAGCTACAATTATATCAGCCTCTTCTTAATATCGCAATATCTTACCATGAGATGCATATCATGATAATATCATATTAATAATTTTTTGTCTTATTTTGTTATCAGATAACACACTTCTGCTGTTATCCTGTAGCTTGTGAAGTGAGGCTGTGGATTGTCTGTGGAAATCAGGCGTTTTTGTCCTTGACTTCGCGTCCTCCACACACCAGAGGGTCTGAATGTAGATTTTTAGAGGAAAAAATATCTATCTGTATTGTACAGGCTCCAGCAGAAAACGCGGGGTCTATGGAGCAAATGCAGCGCGCTGAGTCAGCAGATCAATGATGGGACAGAAGAAGGACAGAGGAGAAGGAGAGAGGAGAAGGACAGTGTCACCTTGTCCCCATCAAATGTATTACGTAATAGATGTAATAGGACAGTAACAGTAAAAAAAAAAAAAAATCATTCAAAATCAATACAGCAATACATTAACTCAAGAATTTTATTTATGTATTTATTTATTTTCATTTAAACATTTTTAGAAAGATGACAAGGTAAGACAAGTTTATTTGTATGGCACAATTCGCAATTAAAAAAGTAATTTAAAGTGTTTTACAGAATTAGAAATACATTACAATCACAATATAAACAAATGAAAACATAAATAATCATCATAAAATTTAAAAAGAGAGAGACAAGAGTGCAGAATAAAACCTTTCAGTCATGTGCAGCTTAACAGAACCGTTTTGAGCCTGGATTTAAACAGAGTCAAAGCAGAGGCCTGAAGACTGTTCCAGGTTTACACGAGGACGCTTGCGGGTAAAAACGACAACATATTTTATCGGAAGTGCCTTTTGTTTAGATGGTGACAGCGTTTTTGGGGCTTGAAAACGCAAAAATCTGGGACCACCCTCCAGAGTGGAAAAGTTGAATATGTTCCGTTGTAGCGTTTCCGTCTTCACTGCCCAAGACGCAAAACTCTGGTCAGATCTGCTCAGGTCGTGTACGTGTTTACGTCCATGCGTCGGACCTTTAATCTGCTCTGGCAGCTCGAATAAATTTACAGGAGGCTCTCAACAAATATACAGAATCTGCAGAGGTACTATTAGTGAACAGAGAAGAATCTGCAGTCACCTCTGTCAAATTCTGGATGCACCAGTTTGTCGCAGGCGGATCAGACGGATATGGACGAGACCTGGAGAACCAGTCGATGTTGGGACGACTTTGAATTCCACACACTTTTGCGTCACCGTATGCACGCATATTTCCTCCTGAAAATGCTCGTCTAAACGCAGAATACAAAGTGAAGACGCGGCGCCACTTTTGCGTCTTCTGTTCAGACCGTCATCATATAAACGTAGCCTAAGCTGCAGAAAAACAATGACTCTCCGTGTTTAGTCCTGACTCTGGGCACCAGCAGGAGACATATGGCTCTGAGGACCTAAGAGTGCCACAATTATGAACCACCTCACACTCTTAAGGACCTCAGAGTGCAGATGATTCATGTGGCACTAACATGTCACAGATGTACTTTGGTGCTCGGCCATGGAGACACTTGTTCACATGCAGAGCCACTTTAAAGTCTGTGAGCCACAGGAGCCACAGTGCAGAGACCTGAGCACAGGACAAGGGACAATTTTGTACAAAAGATGAGGTACTATTATAAATATAAATGTAAAATATGTAAAAAGAAGATAACCTTGAACCTGAAATTTTGTAGCTTATTAATGGGGATAGATTCTGTTATTAAAAATGTGTCATAAAGTCTAGCAGCTAGGATTAGGTTGTACTAACAAAAACATTAAACAAAGACTATTCTGCAAAATTGACTTTTCAGATCTTTTAAGCATGTTATAGTAGTTTTCCTTCACTATTACCGTATTTTCCGCACTATAAGGCGCACTGTCATAGAATGGTCTATTTTCGAACTTTTTTCGCGTAGGACTTTAAATGAAACACAACAGTTGGATGGGTGAGTGGTTTTGTTTGTTTGTGGCGTTCACGGTGACTCTGGGCTTTGTTCAGTTGTGGCGTGTTCGCAGTGACTCGGTTGTTCAGTCGTGTCTAGAAGCGGCACGTCGCGCTCGCTTTTTCGGTTCGTTCCTCCGTTCCGTTCCTCGTCGGCGTGGAGTGACGAGTGTGTCTGTGGGTGTTTTTCGCTGTGCGGTCGCTGTCTGCTCCGTGCGCGTTTGTGTTGCGGCTTTGTAGTTTACTGAAGTCGTGCTGGGACACCCGAGTGGATTCGTGTATAGGACGCTCTGGATTGTGGGTCCTTTTTGATTGGGGTTGGAGGCTTAAGAGCGCGCCCCTATCGTGTGGAAAATACGGTAACTCCCCTGAACTTGTATTTGGAGTGATTGGTGCATGTTTGAGCCACCAGCAAACGCTCACGGCTCTGTATTTTTGTTCTCCAGTTTTATTTTCTTTATTAGTGATAGGTGTAGGATTCGACAGCGGAATGTGCAGCTATCCATTGAAGGAACCAACAGCATCACGGCGCTTTGTTGTGATGACGTTTAGATAAATATTGCGACTTAAAATGTGTTAAAATGATCCACCAGCGCCATAGATTAAAACCGATATAGCAAACAAGGGACACTTTTTTACCAAAGATGAGCTAAAAAAGGTTTTCTGAGAAGATGACTTTGAAATTTTGTAGCTAATTAATAGGGGATAGATTATGTTATTAAAATGTGTCATAAAGTCTAGCAGCTACGATTAGATTGTACTAACAAAGACATTAATCAAAGACTATTCTGCAAAATTGACTTTTCATCATCTTCTTCATCTTTTAACCATGTTATAGTAGTTTTCCTTCACTATTTACTCCCCTGAAGTTGTATTTGGAGTGACTTGGTGCATGTTTGAGCGATCTTTTTCCCCATTTCCAACTCCTCCAGCAAACGGCCACAGCTTTATATTTTTCTTCTCTAATTTTATTTTCTTTATCGGTGATGCGTGTATGTTTTGACAACATAATGTGCGGCTATCCACTGAAGGAGCCAACAACCTCACAGCGCTTTGTTGTGATGACGTTTAGATGAATATTGTGATTTAAAATGTCCAAATCAAGACATAATGATCCAGCAGTGCCATAAATTATAACCGATGTAGCAGATAAAAGACACGACGGGTCTTTAAACTTGCCCGATTTGTGTCTTGTGGATTGAGCAAGTAATTACAGAGATATTTACCATAAACATCCGAACAAAAGCCATTATTACATCATGTGCTGGCAGCCCGTTCATTGATTTTACCGTTAACGCGATCAGATTAGGTCAGATTGAACTCGATTGATGTCACACAGCGGAGTCGTTCTCTCGTTATGGCAGCTATAGAATCGTGTTTTTACAGTCCGTCGAAAATGCGCTAATGGTGTCTGTAAATGTTTTAGTTAACGTTTTAAGTGTGATACCAAATGCGAAGGGACTTGCAAACTGAACCGCAAGCGCAGGAGGATCAGTTTACGGCCTCGAGTGGAAGATTACTCAGCAAATGTTTCCTTAGTTGTTCATAAATTTGATATTCGAGCTTCCTTTCACACGGTCCACTGATCACTGTTACCCAGGGGGAAACTCTTTTGTTTTATGACAGTATGAAAGTGTTTTGAAGCAGAGGTGGGAGAGATGTAGGTGTAGGTGTTTGACTTGTTATTCTATCAGTTTTACATGTTTTATATAGAATTATGATTGTGCAAAAGTGTCTAAATATCGATATATCTTATAGTTTAATGTGACTGATATTGTTGGCTGCTGTATCGATGTATCACCAAGAGTATTTTTTGGCATATTTGACTGAATTATTTTGTTTCAGTGCTACAGTTTTGTTATTTGTTGAGATGGAGGAAACTTGTTTACGGAACACATTTGACATTTTCACTGTTTTGATGATTAAAATGAGCGTGTTTCATATTCGCTTTGCACAAGATGTGGTTTTAAAAAAAGACTTTCAGTATTGGTCTTGATTTAGCTATTATTTTTTTTATTGAACGCAGAGGTGGGGTCTTGCAAGTTGTGACTTGGACTCGAGTCAGACTTGAGTCACTGTTTTTGGGACTTGAGACTTGATGGTGAGAAGAAAATACAGACAAACTGAATTTTCTTCTCACCATGGATTCTACCTGGACGACTGAGGGATTCTTCACACTTGAGACTTGACTTGACAAAATGGACTAAGACTAGGGACTCGACTTGGACTTGAAGATCATTGACTTGGGACTTGACTCGGACTTGAGGCCTGTGACTTGAGAAAACTTGATACTTAGACTAGTTAACAAATTAACTGTTATTAAGCGCTCTTAAAACTTAAGTCTTTCTGTTCTGACTCTAATAATTCACACTCTTGTCTTATTTCTTCTGATTTTATTTATTTGTAAAGGGGCAGCGCATATTAATTAACATTAAAAATGTAAATATGTAAAGTTTATAGCCAACGTGGCTAATTTCCATCTTCAGACCCTCGTCAGGTTGATGTAAAATCATCTACAGGACAAAGGAAAAGTACAGCAACAATCACACCAAAGTACATAACATCAGCATATATCTATACATAACAACACACTCACTATAGGCGAGTTTCAGCTGACGTCATTGTTATTAAAAGCCCGCGTTGCATGCTGGGAAATATTTTTGGTCGGAGGCAAGAAACACGGTAGCGTCAAACACAGTGCGTAACCTCGCGTATTTATCCCCGATAATGGTAAATTCCTGCTGCTTTATCGGATGCACAAATAGAAGCACGGAAGAAGGAAAATGTCTTTTTCGCATTCTGAGTGAAAAGAACCGCTAACGGTGAATTAAACGGCTTTCAAACATTCGCAGAGCAAACGTAGAAGATCCTAACAAACCGTGGACTCCAACAAGTTCAACAACACATCCAGACTCTTGGAGGTTTTCATCTTTTCTGCTGTGAATGGCCCAGGAGTTTCCACCAAGTCATTGTGGATATCGCCCAAGTGAATATTTGTCCAGGTAGTCGGCGATTTCGACCAGAACTTTGGTTTGGTCCACCTTTTGTCGGGGTTGAAAAGGGTGATTTGTCGTCCGTCGATGCTTATGACCAATTTCTGGTCAAATGGTCTTGTGTCCTCTGCCGTTAGAGTGGATAAATAACCGGGATCAATACCCTTTACGTGCTTTCTCGCTCCGTCCATCATGTTGAATTAGTGTTTCTTGCCGCCGACCAAAATAATTCCCAGCATGCAACGTGCGCTTTTGTCAACAATGAAACTCGCCTATACATACAATTAATTTCAAACAGTTCATTTGAAGTTCAAAGTCTAGAGTTTAAGAGTTAAACCAACAACCCCTCAGTATAAAAGAAAATGTAATTTGGTTAAACATGGCGACATATTTGGCCATTAAACAACCACTGTTTTAAGGCTTTAGAAAATACTGCCAATGTTGAAAGTTCTCGTATATGAGCAGGCGCAGTATTCCATGTTCGACCTGCTCGATAAGCAAAAGAGATTTGTCCAAACGCACTTTTCTTAAACGGCACAGAGCACTCGCCTCTAGAACCTGCTCTTGTTGTGTGATTTGAATTTCTTTTCACTTTTCATGTCAAGACATTTAAAAAGGAAAAATTCATTCAAGTCTTATAATATAAATACTCCTGACATTTTAAGCACAATTTAGTTTAAAATTCATATAAATTGCAAAAGTCTAAGCTGGTTTAAAGACTTGAAATGACTTGAAGCTCAAAGCAGACGACTCGGACTTGACTTGGACTTACGGGCCACAGACTCGAGACTTGCAAAACAACGACTTGGTCCCACCTCTGACTGAACGTATCGAATTGATTTGAAATATATCGTGTCGAATTGAATCGAAAGCTGACTGTTCGAGATATGTATCGTATCACGGCCGACGTATTGAAGTATGTATCGTATCAGCAACTTCGTAATGATACCCAGCGCTACTTCTAATCGATTTCAGCTGAAGGTATCACTGTTCCTTGGGGTTGTGATGCAAACTGGAAGCAAGCTCTGTTTTGACGCTTTGTTACACTTTGATCGAACACTTCAGAGTTTTATTTTAACACAATCTGACCAGAAATAACTTACTTATCGTCAATGATCACATTTCTATGCAGCGCTTTTCCACCTTCAGGGCACTCAGATCTCTTTACAAATCTCTTTACGTCAAGAAACCACTCACCCATTCTCAGCTCAATCTCAGTTAATCATCTCAACTCCACCTGATGAAATAACAAACTGTTTTTCGTTCTTAATTGAAATTCTAAAGAAATAAAAAAGCATCGCCCAGCACTACAGTAATCTGAAGCGTAACCTCTAACCCTAACCCCAGTCTTCTCGTCTCGTTGGGTTTGTGTTGTTAGTGATCTACTGCACGGGCTTCTACCTGTGGAACGAGGAGAGCCAGTGGGCGGGGCTGACCCTGGGCCTGTTCCTGCCCGGCACCGCGGTCCAGCTGCTCAGTATGAAGTGGTACTACGACGACGGAGACACCCGCCGCTGCTACCTCTCCCTCATACACACTCTGCACCTGGGAATATTCAAGAGGTAGGGGGACCACAAGAGCACAGACCACGTACAGTTTCTTTAAAACGGTGGTGCCCAAACCATCGATCGTGATTGGTCAATCTCGAGGGAATAGACCTCAAAGATCCTGTCTGTTTATATGAAGTTTATTGTCTGGTGTAAAAGTGACAGTGGATAAAAGAGAGGGAGGAGGAAGAGAGGAGATGAGAGATAGAAGGAGGAGAGGGACGAGAAGAGAGGAGTAAGGAGAGAGGAGAAAGGAAAGGGAGGAGGAGGCGAGGAGATGGAGGATGAGGAGAGAGAAGAGATGAAAAAGGAGAGGAAGGGGAGGAGAGGGAAGAAAGGAGAGGGAGGAGAAGAGAGGAGAGAGGAAGAGATAGGAGAGGATAGAGGAGAGGGAGGAGGAAGAAAGTGGAGAGAGGAGAGGGATGAGAGAGGAGTAAGGAGAGAGGAGATGAGAGGGAGGAAAGAGGAGAGGGAGAGATGATAGATGGGAGAGGAAAGTACAGAGGGGAGGAGAGAATGAGAGAGTGACAGGGAGGAGAAAGGGAGAGGGGAGGAGAGAGGGAAGCGGAGAGGGGGGGAGAAAGAGGAGGAGAGGGAGGAGAGAGGAGAAAGGAGAGGAAGGAGGACAGAAAGGAGAGAAGAGAGAGAGGAGAGCGGAGAGAGAGGAAAGGGAGGAGGAGAGGGAGGAGGAGGAGACAGGAGAGGGAGGAGGAGAGAAGAGAGAGGAGATGGAGGAGAGAGGAGTAAGGAGAGAGCAGAAAGGAGGGAGGAGGAGACATGAGAGAGGAAAGTAGAGGCGGAGGAGAGAGAGACAGGGAGGAGAAAGGGAGAGGGGAGGAGAGAGGGAAGTAGAGAGAGGGAGGAGAGAAGACAAAAAGGAGAGGAAACGGGAGAGGGAGGAGAAGAGGAGATTGAGGAGAAAGGAGAGGGAGGAGAGTGGAGATGGAGGAGGAGAGAGGAAAGGGAGGAGAAAAGAGAGGGAAGAGGAAGGAGGGAGGAGGAGAGGAGCGAGGAGAGGGAGGAGATGGGAAAGGGAGGAGGAGGAAAAGAGCTGAGAGAGGAGAGGGAGGAGGAGGAGACAGGTGAGAGAGGAGATGGAGGAGAGAGGAGAGGAAGGAGAGAGAGAGGGAGGAGAAAGGAGGAGAGGGATAAGGAGGAGAAACAAGAAGAAGGAGAGAGGAGGACACAGCTAATATCCATAACTTATAATTCTACCATGGAAACTGCCTCAGCAATAATTGATGTAATTGAAGAGATAAGAGACATACTGATGAGCTTAAATCTCTATTATTTAGTTATAAAGCAGGTTTACATTTTCATTTCATAATTATTAGGCTTACACTATGTCATACTGCGTTACGTATAACAAAAATAATAATTAATTTTCACATAATTTTCAAATCTGAATCTAAAAATAGCTTGTGAACTCCAGGAAAAGTGATTATGAGTGAAAATCTAGACGTGACTCTTCAGCTCTTGTGTGTTTTTTTTTGGTGTTTGTCTCCCCCTGGTGTCAGGCTGTGGGACTGCATGCGCTCCGTGTTGCACATGCAGGACTCGGTGGCTGACCTGGGAGCGGCGGTGATGCAGCAGGCCGACGTCGCCGCCCTCTGGCTCCTGGAGGCTCTGGTCCTGACCCTGCCCCAGAGTCTGCTCCAGGCCTACGTGGTGGTGTCGACGGACGTGGGCATCATGTCTCCAGGTACGAGCAAAAAAACACAACAACAACACGGACGCCTTGTAAGTTTTGTTTAAGTTATGTTTTACAGTGGTGGAATTAGTTCACAGCATTTTTATAACTTAAAGACGCAGTAATTCTTAGCCAAAAAATAGACTGAGACATGATTTTTTTAATTTTTTATTGTGCTGAAAAACATGCATTCGTACGCTTTGAGAGGGTTTATATCTTCCATAAACCTGATTCCTCCTGCTTATCTTCATCAAAATGTTGTTGATTTGGGTAAAATCTGTAACAATTCGTGTATTATTCGTTTGTTCAATTTTCAAAATAAAACCGAAAATAAGAAAACAAAAAAAAACAACTATTTTCTTCAAAATTTTAAAAAGTTATAATGATTTTTTTTCTTTGTGTTTAAATGAATAATGGAAAATACGGTGCGGCATGGTTTAGTCCTGGTTTAGTCCTGATTTAGTCCTGATTTTACTCCTGGTTTTATTCATGGTTTAGTAATGTTTTAAGACCTGGTTTAAGACCTGGTTTAGACTTGGTTTAGACTTGGTTTAGACTTGGTTTAGACCTGGTTTAGACCTGGTTTAGACCTGGTTTTAGTTTAGCCTGGTTTAGACCTGGTTTAGACCTGGTTTAGTCCTGGTTTAGTCCTGGTTTAGTGGTTTAGACCTGGTTTTAGACCTGGTTTTTGGTTAGTCCTGGTTTAGACCTGGTTTAGTCCTGGTTTTAGACCTGGTTTAGACCTGGTTTAGGCCTGGTTTAGACCTGGTTTAGACCTGGTTTTAGTCCTGGTTTAGACCTGGTTTTAGACCTGGTTTAGGTTTAGTCCTGGTTTAGACCTGGTTTAGACCTGGTTTAGACCTGGTTTTAGTCCTGGTTTAGACCTGGTTTAGACCTGGTTTTAGTCCTGGTTTAGACCTGGTTTAGACCTGGTTTAGACCTGGTTTAGACCTGGTTTAGACCTGGTTTAGTCCTGGTTTAGACCTGGTTTTAGACCTGGTTTAGACCCTGGTTTAGACCTGGTTTAGACCTGGTTTAGACCTGGTTTAGACCTGCTTTAGAGATGCATATGGGGGGGTTTTCTCCTGTCTTAGGAGAAACAATAATATATAAAAGTGTATTAAATTGTGGTCCATTGCTCGTCCCTCACGTCCTGGTCTGTCCTCCTCTGTCCTCCTCTGTCCTCCTCTGTCCTCCTCTGTCCTCCTCTGTCCTCCTCTGTCCTCCTCTGTCCTCCTGTCCTCCTGTCCTCCTCTGTCCTCCTCTGTCCTCTGTCCTCTCTGTCCTCTCTGTCCTGGTCTGTCCTCCTCTGTCCTCCTCTGTCCTCCTCTGTCCTGGTCTGTCCTGGTCCTCTCCTCCTGTCCTCCTCTGTCCTCCTCTGTCCT